GAGGGCTTTGGATTCCCCTGGAACTGGAGTGAAAGATGGTTTGCAGCTGCCATGTGGGTGCTGGGAATCGAACCTGGGTCCTCTGCAAGAGCAGTCAGTGCTCTTAGCAGCTGAGCCATGTCTCCAGCCCCTGTTTTTTCTTCTTAAATATAGGTAACGCCTGAAGTTGTTTGAAAGTCAGATGAAGAAGGGTGGTAGACAGAAGGTGTTATTAATGCAATGCTTTCTAGCATCATAATTGACTCAAGGAGTAATGGTTATGTGAGTCCAGAGGAGGGTTTCAGGATGGGTGACCTGGAAATGCTTCATCGAAGCAAAGGCTTGAGCAGGACCTGAGAGAAGCCAGCATGGATTTGTCCAGTTTTCCTGGCTGCCCACCATTGGAACCACCTGCCTACATGGAGGAATTCTCGCCTATGTTTAGGGGATTTCCATTGTGTGGGTACTAATGGGTAGTGGGCCATCTACCACAGAGCCTTGAGGCTCCCGCAGACTTCCCTGCTCTGAGGGTGCAGGCAAAAGACGTGATTTCTGCCAATGAGATGCTACTGTAACTGGCACTTTAAATGGGGACAGAGTGGGGCAAGTATTCATTTCTGCATGGTGGTGGCTGCCAGGGGCCCAGCAGCAGCCTCTTGTGTCTGGAGGAAGAAGTGTTAGTTTTAATCCCTGTGGGGAGAGGAGGTGATCACTGGAGGGACTGGAGAAGACGATGGTCTCCTACACAGCATGCCCCGGTACACTGACCATGGTTGTGATACTGGTTGCCAAACTTCCTTCAGTGCTTCTGTTTGGTGAGCTTTGGTTGTCAAAGCTTTTGTGTCCTTACATTGATTGAGTCAATGCACAACTTCAGATGTTGCTAATTTGGTGGTGATTGGCGGGTTCGGGGCTTGGTTTAGTTTGGGTTTCGTTTATTTGTTTTAGTTGTTTTAATTTTTTTGTTTTTTGTTTTCTGTTTTGGTTCTTTTGAGACAGTCTTCCTGTAGCCCCAGCTGACCTGGAACTCACTCTGTAGACCAAGCTGGCCTGGAACTCACAGAGATCCGCCTGTCTCTACCTCCTGAATGCTGGGATTTAAAGGCATGCGCCCTGTCTCAAAAGAGACCAAAAGAGGGGGGGCGGATCCCTGAAAAGATGGCCCAGTGGTTAAGAGCACTGACTGTCTGACTGTTCTTGCAAAAGACTTAGGTTCTATTCCCAGCACACACACACACACACACACACACACACACACACACACACACACACTCTGCCATTTACTTCGGTCATCTCAACAGACCTTTGCCTAGCACCTAACCAGGTATGTGATATTAAGAATAGAAACCAGGCGTGGTGGTGCATGCCTTTAATCCCAGCACTCAGGAGGCAGAGGCATGCAGATCTCTGTGAGTTCCAGGCCAGCCTGGTCTACAGAGTGAGCTCCAGGACAGCTGGGGCTAGAGGGAGACCCTGTCTCAAAGAAGACCCCCCCCCAAAAAAAAAAAAAAAGGGAAGGGTGCCTTGAAAGATGGCTCAGTGGTTAAGAGCACTGACTGTTCTTGCAAAAGACTTGGGTTCTATTTCCAGCACTCACATCCAACCATTTGTAACTCCAGTGGGCATTGCCTGACACAGGTGCACTTACATACATGCAGGCAATACACTCATACACATAAGATAAAAATAAGAAAAAAGAAGTAAGAGTACAAAGAATTAGACCTTGTACTCAAGGAGTTGAAACCTGAGATGAGCGACAGACAAATGAAAAGCAAGTGGAAATATATGGAATCTATCTAGCAAATAAAGTCTTAATTTTCTTTGTTCACAAAGAAATCTATTAGTAAGAAAACACAGACTGCTTTTTTAAAAAAATACTGGGGAAACCCAAGGTCTCACATGTGCTGGGCAAGTGCTTTACCACAGAGCTACATTCCCAGCACTCAATGTAATTTGTATAAATCTTTTTTGTTTTGGCAAATTGAGGGGTGGTGGCTGAGATAGGGGCTCATGTAGCCTAGGCTGGTTTCTAATTTACTATGCAGCTGAGGCAGGCCTTGAACTCCTGATCCTCCTGTTCCATCTCCCAAATGTTGGGATTGTAGGTGTAGCCACCATGGCCAGAACCCAGTGTAATTTTAAAAATTGATAAAGGGCACAGACAGCACACAGAGGAGAAAATACTGGCTTTTAAATTCATGAAAATACCAGCTGGGTGTGGTGGCGCACACCTGTAGTCCCAGCACTTGGGAGGCAGAGGCGAGGGATCTCTATGAGTTCAAGGCCAGCCTGGTCTTCATAGTTCCAGGCCAGCTGGGGCTACAGAGAGAAACTGTTTAAAAAAGACAAAAAAAAGAGGGGGGGGGGCTGGAGAGATGGCTAAACAGTTAAGAACACTGATTGTTCTTGAAGAAGACCCAGGTTCGAATCCTAGCACCCACATGGCAGCTAACAACTGTCTGTAACTCCAGTTCCAGGGGATCCGACAGCTACTTCTGTCCTCCAAGGGCATTGCACAACACGGGTGCACTTACCTACACACACGCAATACACACATACACAGAAAATAATAAATATGAGGGCCAGGCGTGGTGGTGCACGCCTTTAATCCCAGCACTCAGGAGGCAGAGGCAGGCAGATCTCTGTGAGTTCAAGCCCAGCCTGGTCTACATAGTGAGTTCCAGGACAGCTGGGGCTACAGGGAGACCCTGTCTCAAAAAGACCAAAATAAATAGATAAATAAATAAATAAGAAATAAGAAAAAAAAATTTAAAAGACCAAAAAAAGAAAACAATTCATGAAAATACCTCAACTTCATTATACCAAAAGCATTATAAATAAAAGCTGAAAAGAAAGCACTTCACTTTTTGCATGACTGACAATGTTCAAAAAGTTCAATACTTGGAGATTGGTACCCCATACCTTGAATCCCAGCACTCAGGAGGCTGAGGAAGGCAGAGTTCTGTGAGTTTGAGACAAGCCTGCTATATGTAGCAGGTGCTGGGTCAGCCAGTGCTGCATGCTGAGATCTTGCCTCAAAAAAAAAAAAAAAAAAAAAAACGCTATCGGAGGATGAAAAGATGGCTCAGGGGTTAACAGCACTGGTTGCAGGCTGGAGAGATGGCTCAGCAGTTAAGAGTACTAACTGCTCTTGTAGAGGACCTGGGTTCAATTCCCAGCACCTACATGGCAGCTAATAATCGTCCATAACTCCAGTTCCAGGGAATCTGACACCTTCTGACCTCTTTGAGCATTGCACGTTGCAGGTGCACTTACACACATGCAGGCAATACACTCATACACATAAAATAAAAATTAAAAAAAGAAGGGCTGGAGAGATGGCTCAGCGGTTAAAAACACTGGCTGTTCTTGCAGAAGATCTGGGTTCGAATCCCAGCACCCATATGGCAGTTAACAACTGTCTGTAACTCAAGTTCCAGGGGATCTGACAGCCTCTTCTGTCCTCCGTGGGCATTGCACGACATGGGTGCACTTACCTACATGCAGGCAACACATGCATACACATTAAATAAAAATTTTAAAAAAATGTTTTTTTAATTTTAAAAAGAGCACTGTTGTTC